GCACAGCCGAACCCTTCGCAGGGCAGGCCGGGCTGTGAGCCCCACAGCCCCTGCCCAGTCCCCAAGCAATGGCGAGACCAGCACGGATGCCCCCGCCGAGCGCCAACACTCCTTTCCCACGGCAGCAGATATACGTGTTGGCGCACCGCGTTCTAGGGGACAGCAGCGGAAGGCGGTCTGGCTCTGAGAGAACAGAGCCGTCATCTGCATCGAGAGCCGTGAGCCACACGGAGAAGCACGTTTCCCGTGAAGACCCAGGCGCGCACTTATGTGTGTGTTGCGTGTGTGTCCATGTGCACTGATGTCCACACAGACACCCACACTTCCCTGGGACAAGAGGTGCCCCCACATCAGTGTGTATCCTCATCACAGTGACACAGCCTGGTCCTTTCCATCTATTCCACTTTCTAAAACCACAGCCGCGAGCCACTAAATGGCCTCATGGCCCAGGAATGGAAGCACGGGATCCTGCAAGGACAGCGGTTCCTGCCCTCCGGCCTTCCCCACGGAGGCACCGCTCAGCAGGTGGGCCTAACGGACAGGGAAGCTACGGCCTCACCGAGAAAGAATTCAGAGCCAAGCACCTTGTCTTTCATGATCGGAGGGGAAAGTGTTTGGACATGATGGTTTCTTAGGGTGTAAAGCTCATCTGTTTTCATCTGATACACTGGGGAGCATCACAACCACATTTCCAAACCAAGTGAAGACCCCCAAAACCCACCACTCCGGTGGGACCGCAGCTCTGAGGGGCTTGTTCTGTTCCGAGCTGAGGGTCAGTGTTTATTGCAGCAACTGGGAGGGGCTGGCTGGTGTGAAGGCATCTGCCACACTGTATAACACACACACACACACACACTCAAACATATAAACTACCACATATTCAACTGCCCACAACTTGTAAACATAAATGGCAATACTGAGAAATGTCCAGTATTATTAGGTTAAGGCCAGCTGAGCATTTCGACAAGAATGGGATGCACACTCACACTGTCCCCGATGGAGGGACCGCAGCCCCGGGCTGGGACACACACTCACACTGTCCCCGATGGAGGGACCGCAGCCCCGGGCTGGGACACACACTCACACTGTCCCCGATGGAGGGACCGCAGCCCCGGGCTGGGACCTGCACTTACACTGTCCCCGATGGACCGCAGCTTGTAGAAGGGCTGGATGTAGAACCAGGAGCCCTCATTCCCCGCCTCGTCCAGCGTCACTCGCATGGCGTTCTTCTCCAGCAGGGCCGGCAGCCTCTTGTTCACAGTCAGGTACTTGTTACTTTTCAGATGCAGGAGCTGAAACCCGCCGGGAACAAGGTAGGTGTCGGCGAGCCTCTGACTCTGCCGTTCCTCCCAGCACATACAATGTGGCTCCAACACCCTCCCCCGGCTCACTGTGAGGTCAGAAACCACAGAAGTGCCCGGGGCGGGAACACTTAGGGCAGGGTCGGCAAAACTGCAGCTCGCGAAAAAAAAAAAAAAAGACCGTACCCTTTTATGTAATGATGTTTACTTTGAATTTATATTAGTTCACACAAACACTCCATCCATGCTTTTGTTCCGGCCCTCTGGTCCAGTTTAAGAACCCATTGTGGCCTTCGAGTCAAAAAGTTTGCCCACCCCTGTCCTAAGCCTTAGGAGTACCCTAATTATGTTAATAACAATGTACCTACCTATATAGTTTAAGTTTAAAAAATTTGGCTCTCAAAAGAAATTTCAATTGTGTACTGTTGACATTTGGCTCTATTGATTAATAAGTTTGCCGACCACTGGCTTAGGGGAAGCAGCAAGAGCACAGGAGCACAAGCAGAGCCAGAGAAATCCTGCGCTGTTCCCAGCAGAGCCTGGGGCAAGGTTGGCGGTGCTCAGGCAGAGGGCACCACCTGCTGCCGCAGCCTCCGGGGCCAGGACCTACCGCGGTGCCCAGGAGCCCAGGGAGGGCGGCAGACCCACCTGGATCACGTTGCCGTACTGGATGACGGTCCCCAGCAGCTTCCTGTTCTCCGTCTCGTTCTGCTTCTTCTCCAGGTCGGCCGCGTGCTGTGGGGGAGAAGGAAGACGGGTCACAGAGGCGGCCCGGGCCGTTTCTCCGCCGGGACACAGGGCCAGCGTCCGGTCCGCCCGAGAACCACAGACACGGGCAACTCCCCCGCTCCCCTGCAGCTGAGCCGCGGGCAAGGCCCGGGCACCCGCTCTGCCGTTACTCCCTTGGCCTTTGTGGCTTTTCAAAAGTGCATCTTTCTCTTTAAGGGGTTCATGGGCCTGTCAGCTTAGGCTCAGCTCAGGTCATAGGCTGATGTATTTTTATTTTCTTGAGCTTATGTACCTTTAAAGGAAGTAGGGGAGGGGGGCAAGGGAACTTGCAAAACCCTTTTCGGGTGTGTAAAAGCCCTCTTTGAAAGCCCTGGGCTGAAATAAACCTGCGTCTAAATGCTGGCTCTGGTTCTGTGACCTGGACTGTGTTACTGAGCAGGTGGGAGCCTCCGTTTCCCCTTTGGTAAAATGAAGGTAAAACAGAAGCTACGCCCGCAGGAGTCAGTGCCGCCCTGCAGGGTTCATGAGCGCTAGTTATTATCACTGGGCACCGATGATCATGTACTTCGTCTTCATGGCACTCCCTCGAGGGGAAGATCCGTGTCCCAATTTTAAAAAAGAAGGAACAGACTGGAGAGATGAAAACATGCGGCCGACGTGGCACAGGCGGTTGGATGATGGGTATTAAAAGGGATTTGTTCTACTATTTTCTCTACTTTTGTGTCTATTTGAAATTTTGCTTAAGAAGCTCCTTTTTAAAAGTCACACGTCTATTAAGTAGCAGAAATAATCCCCAAGGCACATTTGGGTTAATCCAGATTTATCCCGCCACACGCGAGTCGGGGAGAGAGATGACCAGCACAAATTCCGCAGGCTAGGGAAATCGGTAAAGTTGAACGGAGCTTCCAGAACAGTCTCCCAGGGCCACCAACCTGAACAGCCATCTTTCCTGCCTTTACCTGTTCGACGCTCCGTCCTGCTAGCATCTCAGAACCGTGCTCCCGGGACCTGGGTCCCTCCCAGGCAATGAGGGACCGCCATTCCAATCCATCTCCCAAACCGAAATGGGTAAAACCACAGAGACGGGATTCACAGCTGATCCGACGGAGGGGAACCCTGGCGCCCACTCCTGCACTTCGGGGAGGTCCCGGCGGCTCCTCCTCAGGGTCCCCTGTCCTCGGAGTGAGACGCACCAGGTGCGTTTCCAGGCCCCTCCGCACTGGCTCCTGGCGCCCCACAGACCACCTCTCACCTCGGCCAGGCTTCCCCGCCGCCCCGTATTCTCCTCCACGAAATGGGGGCGCTGCAGCCGCTCAGGGCTGTTTGAAGGTTCGAGAAAAAGCGCTGCAGACACACAGTCGGCGTCCAACACACGTCAGCCCTTTAGTACACCTGCGTCCCTAACGCTCAGACCTGCTCAACGAGGGGACTAAGGAGGGGGACGGAGTGGCTGGTGAGGAGCCTTTCAGCCGCTTCCGACTCAGCACCTGCCCCGCCTGCACCCGATGCTGGTGTTTGTGGGGAGGCAGGTCCTTTGAGGAGGATCAGCTGCGGGAAGCATCCGACCCACTGAGAACCGCCCGCAGGAGGTGAGGGCTCACCGTACATGCGCACCGGCTGGTCAGAGGCCTCCCTCTGTCTCGGGGATGAGCAGCCAGCCTGCTGTTCCCGTTACAGGACAGACCCGCGGGGCCCGAGGCTCATCCAGGAATGACCCAAAGTGCCCTCCTCACAGTCAGCCTCAGCGCCCCTCCACCCACACCCTCCTTCACCCCCCCTCGCCCCGTTTTCTGCGGAGCTGCACCCCATGAGAGCCATCCAGGACCCATGGCCCTGCAGGTGGCTCTCCAAACAGAAGCCGGGACTGAATCCACTGGGAGGAGGGCTTAGACTTTGTAGAAAGTCACTGGTTCCTCTGCTAAGCAGCTCTCAGCTCATAGAAACGGGAAATTCAAGGGGAAAAGCCAAAGGGGAAAAAAACAAACAGATTCGGTAAAATGAAAGTATGTGCAGCCCGGCCGGCGTGGCTCAGTGGTTGAGCTCAGACCTAGGAACCAGGAGGTCACGGTTCGATTCAGGGCATAGGCCCAGGTTGCAGGCTCAACCCCCAGTAGGGGGTGTGCAGGAGGCAGCCGATTAATGATTCTCTTTCATCACTGAAGTCTCTCTCTCTCCTCTCCTCCTTTCCTCTCTGAAACCAATAAAAAATATATATATTTTTTAAAATGTCCAACAAATGATACCGTCTTTCTCTGCTGCAAACATCACCCTGAAAGGACTCGCCTCTAGAGAACCGTAAGGTGCCGTTTCGTGGGCGTAAATGGGAGAAGGGCCCGACGAGGGGAGATTCTCACGGCTTCCGCTGGCTCTCAGGAATTGCCAGTGGCCTGTTCATGAACCACTCATCTAAAATGTGAAGTTCCCACCCACGTTTCGACTACATATTAAAGCGCCAACTCAACAGTCCCTGGCACGGCTGAAACAAATGTCAGTGAGTCCTGAAGCTGCCATACTTTCTGTGTTAAAGACGAATTGAGCACAGCAACCACGTCGGAGGGTGTCTGTGCAAAGACAAACCAGAGGTGGAATCAGACCAGATAGTACAGCAAATGGGAGGGTGAATAGCTACCAAGTTCTCTTCAAACAGCAGCTGTCACAGCGGAAACTGCCGAAAGGTTTACCGATGCCCAAGCCTCCACACAGCCACCGCACTGCCTGAACTCACAGGCATTCTAAGAACTCACTTTGCCTACCAGCTCTGTTTCAGGAGAAAACTCCCAAATTCATTTCGCCTTTACACAAATACTGTATGTGTTCATCTGAGCTCACACATCAATGCTTAGAAAACCCCCTCCGTTTTAGGAGGTCCAATGGGCAAACAGCGCTGTCAAACTGGGCTTTCAGACAAAAACATCCACCGGCCTTTTAGGTCTAACAGGTGAGGCAAAAGGTAGATCCAAAGGAAATACGGTACGAACCATACCTGGGCCCACGGATCGAGGTGCTGCCACCCGTGGAAAGGACCAGATCTGGCTCGGCGAATCCCACATGAGGTTTCTAAGGAGGGGCCACACCCGGTGCTCTCTCTCGGAAGGATAACTGGCCACGTCCATCACCAAGTGTTTCAATGGGCCCAACTTGGACGGAGCCATTCCATTCCCAGGAGTTTCTCCTAAGATGACCGGGCAGGTGGCCGAGGCCATAACAGCCTTTTTTTTTTTTCTTTTCCTGAATGGCCCAAACTATCAGGATCCTGAGTTCCGCCCTCCACCCTGGGGCTTGGCTAATTAAAATCACACACATGTTGCCCGGCTAGCATGGCTCAGTGGTTGAGCGTCAACCTATGAACCAGAGGTCATGGTTCGATTCTCAATCAGGGCACATGCCTGGGTTTCGGGGCCAATGCCCAGTAAGGGGCGTGCAGGAGGCAGCCAAGCTTGTTTCTCTCTCATCTATGTTTCTCTCTCTCCCCCCCTCTCCCTTCCTCTCTCTCTCAAATCAATAAAAACATTTATTTTAATCACACACAGGTGGGTGTGTTGGTCTTGCCCCTCCCCCGACGGGCTGAGGGCTGTTTTGAGTTTCTGAGAAGGACACCGCACTCTACACTGCGGTCTCACCACCATCAAGTCACCACGGACGTCACCGTGGTCCCTGAGCAACGTCAAGGTCAACTCCGTCAGTCACCTGTTGTTCTACTTCAGAAGCAGAGGAACCGGTATTCAGTGACTCCAGAAAGGTCTCTGTGCCGGGACCTTCTTCAAGGTCAACGGGCCCTGGGCTGTGTAACATGACACTGAGCTCGGAGCGGACGGTCCGGCCACTAGAGGTCATTCTCCTTCGATGGCTGTTGGCAGCCCCATGCCCCAGTGGGAAGGAAGTCAAGGGGTCTAGACAGCGAAGTCCTTAAATGGCGTTCATTTAAAACAATCTGACCTCTGACTGGGGTCCTGCACAGCCGTTGACCAAAATAAACACGAAAGCCCCCTGGAGACCGGCCTTCCGCCCAACGGCGAGCGGCTGCGGCAAACACCACATTGGAGGGACCGCACTGAGGCAGAGAGAGAGCGGGAGGAAAGAGTCCCAATGAGCAGGAAAGCAGGGACCCCAGGGCCCGAAGTCACATCAGTAACCCTGAGTCCGTTTCCTCCTAAACCTCTTTTAACGCACAAACCGCGTAAAGAAGAAAGCTGGCTTTTTTTTTTTTAAATAAGGAGTTCAGAGTTCCTGGTCACCTCTGGGATTGCCTTCTAGCAGCTGGGCAGTTTTCCCAGGTCACTCGAGGGAAGGAGCCAGGGAGGAGCCGCCGACGAGATGTCACAGGTCACGGGCACATGGCGGGAAGCAGCCGCACTGTGCGCTGTGCGCTGTGCTGGGGGAGTGTGTGCATTAACTCTCAGCGGGTGCGTCGCCAGCACTTGTAAAGGATGGAGACAGACGTCAGCAGGGCGCGGCGGTGCAGGAGGCCCACAGGGCAGCCCCGAGCGGGAGGCGGGAGAGTCCGCGCAGGTGAGACCTGAACTGAGCCTCGAAGGTGAAGGCGGCTCCGGGCTCAGCCCAGGAAGAGCCCAAAGCACATTCCAGGCAGGACAGACGAAGCGCAAAGACCAGGGGATGCTGGGCCTGTGGTGCTCAGAGCCTGACACGGAGCGCAGGGGCCCGTGCGGCTGGGCAGTGAGGCCCCGAGCACAGGGAGGCCCCGGGCACAGGGAGTTCCGGGCACAGGGAGTTACAGCACAGGGAGTTTACAGGCACAGGGAGGCCCCGGGCACAGGGAGTTTTTTTTTAGGGAGTTACACGCACAGGGAGGCCCCGGGCACAGGGAGGCCCCGGGCACAGGGAGTTCCCGGCACAGGGAGGCCCCAGCACAGGGAGTTACAGGCACGGGGAGGCCCCGGGCACAGGGAGTCCCTCAGAGGCCCTGAGGGAATGGCAGGGACCCGCAGGCGCGATGCCAGGACTGCAGTGAGGTGCAGTGGGGCAACTGCGTGGCCCACCCTGATGGCTCCCTGAGGGGCAGCCTGG